CTCGAGTTTCGTTGGGAGCCAAATACCTTAACCATTCATATTTGCTCCCCCGCCTGTGTTTTTACCCTTTTCGATTCCCCGGATAAAGCACAGTTACTTTCATTACATGCATCGCATCCTTTACAAAACGCGACGCCCTACCTGATGAACCTCGAACAGATGGGATTTGGGTCTGTTTGACGGAAAGGATATAGACGACCCCGCTCCTCTCGTCCGAAACCCTCATTCGGGCTATAATCAAGGTAAAAACCGGATGATTACTGCCTAAACCTAAGTAAACGGCTTGCCAGTCACCAACTCCTTGCGATCACAACGCAAGCACTCAATCCCCTTCAACATTTCATGCTCCCAACGAAACTCGAGAGCGCGGATCTACAACGCAATCACCCCCACCGCCGATGATCACACCTCCGATGTCCCCCCGCCCGAGTCCTCGATCGCCAGCACCATTTTCCTCACCACGATGCACGCTTCGACGACGACCACCACAAACATCACCACCCAAAATGTGTAAAGTAGGTTATTAGTGTGTCCTTCGGCTGCCCTCTTTGCGGCTTCTTAGACGCATGTTGGATGCGTACCGCACCCAAAAAAATATGCGCAAATCCAGCCTGCAGGCTGAGACGAGGCGGTGTGTGACACGCAGATCTACATCGCGAGGTTTGGGGAACGTGCGGCTGGCCCAGGTTGTTGAAAATCATGGCCCAGCGTAGATGCGGTCGCAGGCCTGGCTACAGATTGTCGGCGTGCCGGTCGACTCTGCTCCAACTTACATCCGGCCTTTTTTGACTTTGTGGGTTGCGAAGCGCGCGCTGGACATATTCGAAATTAACGGTTGAGCTGTCAATGACGACGCTAATATGATTTTGAGACTACACTTGTGAATAAGTCGTTGGAATTGTGGTGTTGAGTTAATCGCTTATTATGCTGTTCGTAAATGTAGTTAAGTCTGGTAGCATGTCGAGAATCGTAAATGGATGTTAATATTTATTACTCAAATTTGGAAATATAAGATGTCTCTGAGAATTAGATTTCGGAGACAGTAAAATTAACGTCAACCATAGTTCCTTTCAAAGAACTACATTAAGATTTGTGTGTTACGTTTGAACGACTAAGGAAAACAGGCATAAGACAATGTCAATTCGAAAATTAAGCAATATCCGGCGCTTTATTTATTAACATCTTCAAATAATAAACAATTTAAACTTGCTTTGAATCGAAAGAATAGAAACGATTGTGAACAAGGAAGCCAAAGTTGCATGCGTTTTGAATTAATTTTTTGGGTGTACCGCACTCTACCACGATCATTTTTTTCAGTTCTGCACTGGTACTCAAAATACAAAATCCACACACAGTCCGCCAAATACGTTAACATAAATTTGACATGAACAATCGGGTGTCTTAATCCAGTTGAAATGGGGGGATACTTTGATATGCAGAAAGCCCTATGGCTACACTTTTTAACCTACGTTAAAGTTCTTTTAGAACTGCTAGTGAACCTGCATAGACGCATAACAGGGGCACACCCATCAAGAGCGCGAGGTGTCATGGGCTAGCCTACGCCGAAACCTTTTCCTTCCTAAGTGCCCTCTTAGGAGTAAATCAAGAGCATGCTAAGTTCTCTGGACTGGGATGGCTGTCTGACCTCGTGCGTGGTTTTGACATTGCTGGCGATATACTGCACCCTGAAAGTAGCGAACTATTTGTAAACACTCCCGGTCAACGATTAAATGTTCCACAGCAACAAAGGTCACGGATGACTCCATTCTTACAATCCAGCCTCCAACAGTAGGAATGGACGACAAGTATAATTATTTTATAAGAGGTTTAACGTCTTCGACCATAATCTAGCAGGTCTTAGGCCGTTTGACCATCTCCAGTGTATTCAAGATCGCCTTCTTTGTCAGCCTACATTTGATGCTGTTCATGGCCTCAGTTTATTCGGTCAATAGTCTCACCAACTGATCCAATAATTGTGTTATGTTCTCCAAATTGTCTAAGTATAAATATAAAACTATAAAACCACCCTCGGACTGCGGGTGACTCCATATGACATCCGCAACTAACAACTGGAATTACACTCTTTCATAATCTTGCCATGCTTATACGTCCTCTTGTCTCCTCGACCTCAACTTTTTAAACCCCTTCTGCTTATAGGCATACCCTCTTTTGAAAAAGCCAGACAATAGATACAAGACTTAAACGACGGTGAACATGTCTTTTTTGTAATTCTTAGTCAGGCCAATACATTTATATGATGGGAATGAAACTCTATGAAAATAACAGTTATTGGAAGTATCTCAAGGGCCCTTAAGTGATTGTCACTCCCCTGCACAGGCAGCGCGCAAGACGCGGTCAGCGGTGTTTGGTCCTCAGACCTAGGATATAAGTATAGGAGAGTTTTTCATTGATGTTCTTGGATTGAGTACACAGAGTTCTAATGGCAGTAATTAGGGAATTAGGACGGCATTTCGTCACCAGCTGCCAATGAAAATATTTTTTTTAATTTCCGCAGTTTTTGACAGCCAGTTTGTCCAAGATTTTGTAAAAGAAGGGAAAAGCGTTTATACTGCCTAAGCCAAATTTCCTTATTCATTCATATTTGCTCCTTCGCCGGTAGTTTCGCCTTCTACGATCCTTTTGGAAAAATCGCAATTTTTTCAGTCGATACACCGCATCACCTACGAAATGTGATGCTCTCCCTGATGAACAGCGCAAACACGTTATCTGGGTCAAATTGGCGGGCATGGTCTAGACAACCTAGCTCTTCTTGTCCTAATCCGCAATCAGGAACCCGTTTTGTTCATTAAAATGTCGATTTGTCACATTCGGTTTGCCATTACTTAGCATCACTGAACGCCCTATAATGATGCTTCTTTCTAAATGGCTGATGAGTTTTGCTGTTTCATCTTACATTCAGTAATAATCCCATACTACTCCTCCATACCTCATTACGAAGTTGTTTTTTGCGTGCGTATTTTCTGATAGTAACGGTTATGTGAACTCACCTCTCACTCTTAATCTTTGGGGAGTGTTTTATTCTGTTTTTTTCCTAGCTCGCTGTTTTTTTTTCTAATAACTCCCAAATGGAAATTCGTGGACGCCATTATTATTTGTACTATTAGTATTATTTTTATTATGAATATCTAGAATTGTGTATGTAAAAGGACGAACTCCTGGCAGGCATGAAAGGCGCTGCCCACTCTACAAAGCATAAAAACGGAATTTTACTGTGCTTCGCGCTACTCACGCAGACTATTACCGTCCAGGTTGTATGTTTTACTAACTGACTCAGTTTAATGTTAGTTCGAACGTTATCCCGTTGGCGCTACAAAGTCAGGTCTGACTACTTTTATTATCACTCTCTTAGAGTTTGGTCCTCATTCCATTGCTTAAGTCTGTTGACGGAAAAAAATGACTTTCACACAGACCATCCAACGGCGCACATGATAGCGTTTAAGTTACACTGAAGGCTTGTTGGACAATTTAAATCAAGCTATGTCTACTGAAATTCCTGTACAAACTTGCAGAACGCATAATTGCGCTAAATAGTAGGAAAAATTGGGGCTTTCTCTGAAAAATCGCAAAAACGCCCTTATAGACTGAATCGACTTAGGAGTTCATAAGCCAATACAGGGAGTTTTTGCCATAATGCACATCGGACTTCGCCGATGCACTTTAGAGCCGATCTTATATGCAAGGATATCCAGATACATTTCGTAAATGTTTCTATGACTTGGGGCTCCAGCAGAAATAGTTCTTTGTACTACACTTAAATGCCACATCAGTCGCTTAACCCGGTTGATTTTATGTTCGGGACGATTTTTACCTATGGAAAAAATTTAACATGACCAGAAAATGTGATTAACCATCCTAATTTAAACGTTTTTTGCCTACTGCGTATAAAAATATGAAATATTATGCTGAAAACTGCGTGGCGAATATTCATAAGAATTGTGAAGAGTTTTTCAAAGCCACACTGCACCGGAAAAAAGTATTGCTATAGTTTACTGTTGACGTCTGGGAGGAGGTTTAATGTTCGAAAGGCCAAGGTGTCATCCTCAACAATGGACGTGTCCCACGCGCTGAAATCTTGCAGTGATACGCACTTCCGAAACCTTTTTTTATTGAATGACTAACATGATCGTCGAACACAGAGAGTTATCTGTGATTGCTGTCATTTGCACTCTTGGGATCGGAGGCATTTACCACTATCGGAGGGAGACGGAAACTTGGCGATAAAGCCCACTTTCGGCTGCTCGACACCTCGATTATTATTTGCACACGTTTATTTTGGTCTAAACCCAGAGGCTTGTAGCTTTCTCGAATATAAATCTGCTCTTGCCAGACAAAAAGCTTTCAGTTCAGTTCAGTTTATTAGTGGAAATAAGAGCGAGCGCTTTTGAACTCCCTATTGGTTACAAGTCGTCGGAGAAAAATATTGATATGTGGGAAGGTGAAAAATGGGTTTTGTACATAACCCCTGACAGCTGGTCCAAAAAAGAGCAATTAACAACGTCTACTTATTACGTACAAGTAGTATAATTACATTTGAGTTGGTGCCGGGTTATGACAATGGATTTGAGGCTGGAAATTGGGAAGCTTAATACGCGTCAATTTTGCACTTAAAGTAATTCACACAGGGAGAGGTTGCAACATCGGTCGGCAGGACATTCCACGCTGCAACCACTATGCGACTGAAAAAGAACTTTAATTCCATTGATCCTTGGTTTCCCGGCGCGTAGTTTTAGAGGATGACCGCGCAAATTGGGCGTGTTAGATTGTGTGTAATAATCAGTTGGATCTAAACAGCAGTCTAGGCCGTTGACAATGCGAAATGATAGAAAAAGGTAACCAAGTTATTGCTTGTAGGAAAGGGGAAACAGGTTGAGAACTGACATTCGGGTTTCGTAAGGCAGCACTCCCAGACCTTGTGTCATTTTGGTCGTCCGTCTCTGAACCTTCTCCAGAACGGTATAGTCCTAAGAAGTCTAAGGTCTCTACGCCCGTATGGCGTTTTCTCGATGAGGCCGCACGTAGGTGCCAAATACTTTGGAAAAGCAGTCCGTGTCAAATCCCATAAATGCTCGGTTAATGAGTTGCAGTGTAGCCATAGCCGATTTAGCCGCCTTTGCGCAGTGCAGTGTTGGTTTGAGTGAAGATGTAATCCATACGCCCAATTCCTTCTGACTGTCAACCTGTTGAAGTGGTGTGCCATGTAGAAAGTAAGTCCTGGAGCTGGAGGCTCTGGAGGTGCTCAGTTGCAGAAAGTTGCCCTTGCTTATATTGAAGGGCACAAGCCAGCGCTTCGACCAGACTTCGAGCCTATTTAGATTTGCTTGCAGGTGGTCTACGTCTGCTGCATTGTGAATAACCTTCCACAATCTTATGTCGCCGGCAAACAGGATGGTATCACAGTTTAGATCCTTGACGCAGTCAATTATGAAAACGAGGAATAACGCGGGACCTAAGACTGAGCCCTGTGGGACGCCACTCACCAGGCCTACCTCCGAGGACTGTTGACGTCCCACCTGCACTCTTTGGGACCGTCCAGCCAAAAAGCTCTGGATCCATACACGAAGGCGTCCACGAATTCCACCGTTGCGTAGTTTATGCAAGAGAAGTTGGTGGGGAACGCTGTCGAAGGCCTTTTTGAAGTCGATGTAGATGGCGTGCACCACACTACCTTCATCGCGTGCTTGGGTCCAGCGTTCGAGCGAAAAGAGCAGGTTCGTGAGGCAGGACCTACCACTTCGAAAGCCATGTTGCGCCTCAGAGAGGAGATGGTGCTGCCCGAGAAACTGCATCAAGGACTTCTTTATGACCTTTTCCGTGATTTTTCAACAGAGGGATGTACGACTCACTGGCCTGTAGTTATTCGCAGAGGCACGAATTCCGCTCTTTAAATGCGCAGTGATGGTAGCGGACTTCCAATCAGAGGGCAGGCATCCAGTAAGAAATGACGTTTGGAATATCATGGCTAATGGTTTGGACAATTCGGGAGCTAGCTCCTTCAACAGCTTGGTAGGGATTGCATTAGGGCCTGAGGAGGTCGATTCTTTTAGGTTAAGTAACTCATTTCGAACAATTGCTTCGGCAAAGAAGACGGCTTCAAGGGTAGGCGTTTCTTCGTCTTCGCAAATGGAGGAGAAAAAATCAGGTTCACTTCTCACGACGGACCGGATAAACTGAGAGGGGTGTAGAGCCTTATCCTTGTCATCGGAGATTTCCATTCCTTTGGCTGTTCGCAGCAGTGAGATGGGGTCTTTGTTTCGCGTGCTCTGTCTTATTTAGCTGTAGAGGACTTTGGGATTAATCGTGGCACGGTTCAGATGATCATTTTCAAAGGCTTCCCGATCTCTGGCGATGAGGATTTTGACCCGGATTCTCCGTAACTTATAACTGCTTATTGATTCTGGCATCCGGTCAGTCAGGTATCTTTTCCACAGCTTCCCATTCTTGTTAACTTCCTCCTTTAAGGACGGAGTCAGCCAGCGGGGTCTATTTGTTAGTCTTCTGCGCATGATTTGGCAATGGTTGGAGATGAGGTTGCAGACTAACACTTTGAACTGACACAAAACCTCTTCGACATCGTCGGGTAAAGTGGATGACCAGTCGATAGGACTTACCTCCCTTCTCATCTGTTCGAAATCTCCGCGAAATCTCGGGAATCGAGCGGTTGTGCACGCAGGGAAGATAAGGTGTATTCCCACAAGAGAACCACATGGTCAGTCTGACATAACTGGGGGAAGGCAATTCACAACGTCGATATTGTCAGAGGACTTGGTGAACACAAGATCAAGGCAATTCATTTGCTGGCCCTGTCGAACTGTCGTTGGAAATATTACGTGTTGGGTTAAAAGCAGATTGTTGGAGGTACGCAGTAACTGCTGGTCGAATGCTGCTTCAGAGCAGTCGGCTGAGGCCGAGTTCCAGTTTAATTCAGGTGCATTAAAATCTCCAACGATGGGAGTAGTCGGTCGCTTTGAAAATAGCCTTAGCTCCTGCAACCGTTGGGCATCAGCGTCAGGGTCATTTCTCAGGGGGGGGCGATATACTGTCAAGATATCGAGGCTTTGAGTGTCCGGTGCCCTTATTATCAGCTCGAATTCTTCCGTGCTACAAGACAATTTGGCAGTATTTTCTGAAACGTAAAAGCCGTTCATAACAAATGTTCCTATACCCCACCCCTCGTGTTTTGTCTGTCTCTGCGAAGCAGGTGAATTCAAGGGAGCATGAGTTCTCTTTTATCAATCTGTTCAGACAGCCATGTTTCTGTTATTGAGATAACGTCTGGCTGCAGGTCATGGTTAAGGATACGAAGTTCATCCGGTTTAGAAAGCACACTTTGCGCGTTGGTATACGTGAATATGAGTTTCGAGCTCATGCGCGATTTTTTATCAACCCCGACACGGGCTACCCTGGTAGCTGTGCGGTCATTCGGATCGGCTTGATCCAGAGGGGGGGGGGGCGGAATGTAGTTTAACTAGCTGGTCTTTGCAGATTGTCAAGTCTTTTTCTCCGTTGGTTTGTCGTGTTCTCAATTCTAGTAGAAGTTTGCGGCGTTTCGTTCTCTCGGCAGGTGAATACTCCGGCTTAATAAACTCTCTTTTATGGGAATGCTTCAATGGAAAATGCCCGGAAATTATAAGTTTCGCCTGCTCATTGCTACCTAGGACAACATTCGCGGGTCTTCGTCGTGTCTGTGGAGCGGCGGTTGTGCGGCTACCAAGACGAAACGCCTTTAGGACTGTGACAGCTTCTTTTGGTTGTAGCATACCATTTAGGTGTTTCTGGAATTGCTCTAAGTCAGCACTGGCGGAGGACTCCGGGAGACCCAGAATTATGATTCAGTGGTCCCTGTTAAGCATTCCTCCGTTTTCTATGGTTTAGACGTCGTTGGCCAGTCCTTATGTCTCGTCGAAGTTAACTGGCGAAAAGGAGGGAGTTGCTATATTGATATTTATGCACCCGTGATGTTCATTCGCGAATCCTGTTGGGACATCGCGAATAGTTACACAATGTAGTTAATCAGAATTGCCTCCGATCAGAGGGCACCGAAGAGAGCTCGGTTCTCAACTCTGTTGAAATGGGAATTCGCGGTGGCGGCTAATTCCACCCTGGGTCCATAACCATATGTCTTTGCGCTAATTGATAATCCCGTTAAGTTAGGCTCCGGAAATGAGCACACTGTCTGGGGAGGTGTAAGGTTGGGCGTCAACTGTTTCATTCTTTCCACTTCTTCTGCAGGCACATTTACAGTCGTTTCGTTTTTCAACTGCGTTTCGGGCAAAACTGATATACTTACTTTCGTATTCTGGCGACTTTTCCCTGTGGTGTTAAGTTTAGTCTTCTTCTTATTTTTTTTCATCGGAAGCCACTATTTGCCTACTAACAGCAGTTGTCTTAATCACCACATGATTGCTTTCTGGGGATTCTTTACACTGGATGGCTCTCACTCTAATCCGAAATAACCTCTGCGTAGATAACACCGGGCGGTTTACGAAAGAAACTTTCTTGTATATAAGTTCCTTCAGATTTCTTACTTCTGCCTCTAGTTGATGCATCTTGTAGGCTATTGTTTGATAAATATTGCATGAATATCTAACCAGATCCTCTGGTGACGAAATAAGAAAGCTTTTAGCTGTGCATTTCAGCCGTGCGTCGGTGATGTAGGGGTTAGCTGAGCAGCTCTAAATTTTGAGGTCCCCGGTTCGAATCCAAAGTGCACGTTACTTTGGAACTAGTGCAGACTCCAACATTCCGGATAACTTTTCTATGTACACAAAGAGAGTAGGCTTAAGTATGAAGGAAAGGCTTATATGACGATCTTTCGGTAGAAAGTAAATTCATTAGCTGAAAGAAAGGTATATTTAATAAGCTTCAGAGAGCAGAAATAAAGACAAATACTTTGAACCGATGATGAAACAATGTCTAATAGTAGAAAAGCAAATCAGCCTTTGAAGAAGCTTTGGATGGATTGTTCTTTAGATAATCCGACTTTCTGGGCTTGCAAGCAATAGAAAACGAAGTAGGCCGAAATCGGAGTTCTGGGAATGTGCTGCAGGAGACTAGTGGGGCGGAAGATATTGATGAGTCGAATTCTAGTCTATAAGCGTACAGTAAATCCAAATGCCGAAGTAACAAAATTCCTCGGAGGGGGAAAATTTGAAAATAAATTCACGACGCGCCCTCGCACATTTTGTCACAAATGTCAACTCTTTTCCTAAGGAAATTGTGTATGTGTTTTAAACTCGTGTTCCCTAGCCGAACTAATTAGTTTTCTTTCAGAATTGTTAATCATGTGTAGTTATGAGTTCCTTCGTGGTACCCATATGCAGTAGTTTCATTGCGCATGCACATAAAATGAGCAGACGCGAGCTCATCAGCATCACTTTGCAGCCACTTACGCGGACTTCACTTCGCTGGTAATAAGAACACGGGGATTTATAATCCGTCTAAATGAGTCAGCTACAACGTACGCATCAAACAAAAAACTTTGATGTAGGCAGATCCTTAATACATCATCCTTGCCATCTCAGAAGCCAAATAAAGCTGTAGCCATGCCCTAGCCATAACAATTTCAAAAACTCGTTGAGTCTCCTGATCTGAAGAGGAGCTTGCTTAAACAATTTGCAGTAATTCCCGTAGGAAGGAATTTTAAAACTTTTTTGTTGCAATGATTGACTTTTGATGTATCAGTATTAAGATTTTTAAGGAACGTTTTCAGGGCTGAGTAACCTTTCGGTTTTCGATCGGGAATATACAATATTAGGAGGCGCTCACCGATCGTTATTACGGAAGTCGATCGTTCCGTTGTGCTTTACGGGCTCTCTCTCAAGCCAAACCAGCAGCCGCACGTTTCTTGGTTGGGTGTGACTAACTGAGGACGGTTTATACGCCAGAAATGGCCATTTTAGTCTCCCTTCTCTTTGTCTGTTATGCCATTTTGCATATATATAATGGCATTTTGCGAGACACTGATAAGTTTTGTTTCGAAGATGTACCTATGACCCAATTGGTAGACCTCAGTGAGGGACTTACTGCGCCAGGTGCATGTGTGCACATGCTTATATTTCCCATCCCAGTTGCTGCCCAGGGTTATAATTGGGTGAATGGAGGCAGAATAAGCTCAAAACAGTAGTGTATCAGCCTACCTGAATTCTCTGTCGTTCCTCCGCCCTGCTATATATTTATACGTTTATCGAAAATTCACGAATACAACTCGAATTTTTACGAAGAGGCGTCTATCTTAATCATAATCTTGGAATACACACTACGTTAGGTATTGAACATATTTTTGGGCGTCAAACGCTTACTCTTAACAGACGTTTGGAGAAATAATCACAAAGGAAGGTTAAAACTTACGAGCAGCTAACTTTCGTTCATCGATGTCGCGATCACGGCATACTACAGAAGTCTCTTCGTTTCAAACGCACTGTGCCGATTGAGATTGGGAAGGCCACTTGCACCAAAATACGGATTTCGCGTTTTCAGGGCCCTTATATCAGAAGTTCATTGTCGTATTTCAGATTCGATGCAATACTATCCGACCTCTGAAGCCATTGTGCCTCAAAATTGCCTGAAAATATGTTCGGAGACGTGCTACGGGGAAAAAAATGCCACCGCTTTTGGTGCCAGAATGAAAAAGCGAACCGATCTTCAAATGAAACTGTAATCTCTTCTTCGCACTGTAAACGAAATCAGCAGGTCGACATGAGTTGCTAAGCTTTCTAAAAGGAGTCTAACATCCGTTGAACTTAGTCGTGTATCGAAAAGAACAAAATGCAGCCACACTGATGCTGCGCCCGCAAACTTCCTAGCGAAAATCGAATCTACTTTACTGACTTCTACCTTGCTAGAAGACATGCGCGCGGACATAGAAAGATGCACCACTGGTCTAGTTCGACAAAAAAGCACCACCAAGTCGGTCCATCGATTAAGAAAAGGGGTTACAGTCTTCCAAGAAAGACGACAGTATAGTGATTGTGTCTTCTGACAAATGTGGCGTGACCGTGTTCATGCAATAGAGTGATAAAGTCAACGATGCAAACGAAGTCTTTAACGCACCATTCACGGAAGGCCCCACCCAGAAGCAAGCCGCAACTGTAAAAAAGAATCTGAATGAGCTTACCCGACTGAAACTCATAACACCCGATGACTCAATGACCCGCCAAAATATCCATGCATATGGCCTTCCAAATGTGCACAAAGAAGGTGCGCCATTGGTGAT